GGGGCACCACAATTCCAAGTTACGGGTGCCCCATTCCCCCTCTTCGACATAATCAACACTTCCAGGGGCTGCTAAGATTAAGATGGGTAAAGTCTGAAAACAGTCCAAGTTTATGAACAGGGAGGCGAAGATCTGTAGGAGAACTTCACATCCTTCACAGATGCCGTGCATGGCCACGGATGCAAGGGGCTCTCCAGAAGACTGATTTCAAGGAAATGAACGATTCATTGTGAAAGAGACAGAGAGGGAGAGGGAGAGGGAGAGAGAAAGAGAGAGACAGAGACAGAGACAGAGACAGAGAGAGAGAACCTGCTACTTACCTTGTACACTCTCAGAACTAATCATTCTGGCATCAGTTGCAAATTACAACTGCCCAAGGGCTAGCTATCTGTTCCATGGCGGAAGTTGTATTAACGTGTCTAAGAGGCCCTGATATGCACAGGGGTTAGGGCTTCCATGTACGCCAGGCTCCAGAGAGTTGAGACTTCAAAGTCCAGCCCCTGTGGTGACCTTTCCAAGGCACAGGGGCAGCCCCGGGAAGCAGCTCTTTGCTGTCCCCACAAGCCACCTCTGGCCGTATTTCTCTTCAGGTCTGCAATGTAAAATGCTGACGTCCCCCTAGGGGTGGACTGATCACTTACTCGCTGCAGCCAAAGTCAGGAGGTTCAAAGGCAGGTGCAACACAGGTTCAAAGGCACCTGATGGGGGGGTCAAAGGTCACTGACGGTTCTAATTTCTGTTTGAAGTGCTTGTGTCCAGCAATGAACTGACTGTAAATGACTCCAGGTTATTCTTCAACAGAGAATCATGTCATGGCCCGACAGACAGCCGGACTTGGTAGAGAGATGAAATGATTTAGGATTTAAAAAGGTCGTCAACCACTTAGAAAAAACAGTTTAGTTCATCATCATCATCTGACATATGTTAAATTAGAGAAGATCTAAAGGAGTTGACTAAGAAACTAAATTTTAAAGTTAAAAGAAGACCAAGTCAATGGCTATAGATTCTGAGATGGGGAAGGACTTTTCAGTCACAAAAAGAAACTCTAAAGTACTGAGGAAGAAAAGTTTATAATTGATTATGCCATGCAGACGTGCATTCTTCCATTTACTTTTTAAAAGCCTCATCAAATCAAATAAAAATATAAAACTATGTGTTTATAAAATTATTATAGAAGTGAGCTCTTGGTCTTATGATAGGACAATTTCATAAAATTTAACCACAACTTCCCTCTTTCAGTTTAAATTACAACCAATAATAGCCATAAATTGATAATCCATGAGTTTAAGAGCAGTTAATAGCCTCCCCAGGAACTAAGGAAACCTGAGTAAAACCAGCTCTTTTTACTCATCAAGGGGCAAGATTTTTTAGAAAGATAATATGTAAACATAACGAAATTAAAACATTGCCTAAACTTGTGTAGGTAATTTGCTATATTTGTAAAATTTCTCTTCAACTCCTTCTTTATATTCCAATGACCTATTCAGAAATAAAAAGATTAACGTGTCACCGTAACAATTTGTCCACATAACTAAAATTTGAAATGATCCAAATTCCGTAATCTAGAACAGCTTTATATAAACGATAGATAATAGAACTACATTAAGCTATCTTAATTATTTTGAATTAAGGTATTGAATTATTTTTTAAAATATTAATAGCATTAGTATTAAAAAATGAGAAATGTTCAGAGTACAATGAGGTTTTTTGAAGTGCAATAAGCTTTATTTCAAAATGAAAAGCTGTTTGTTTTATGATTATAAAAATAAATTTGAAAAATTAAAATTTTTTTAATGATACAGAAAGCCCAAAGGAAAAAGAAAAGAAACAATCAAAATGCCACCTCCCAGATATAGAAATTGGGAGGGCAGTGGGTGTCCTCCCTTGGTCCTCTGGGCATATTGGCAGGCACACATTCCTGTGCACAAATGTGTACAATACTATTTTCATGAACAAGCAGATATGTGTATGAATTTGTTTCCTTTCATTCAAGATAGTTACAGAAGTTTTTTCAGGCCCAAAGCAGACATCCTGAGTTTCCCGTAGTATTCTTTTAAAACTATTATTTTAAAAGTTAAAATATAATTACATCATCTCCCCCTTCTTTGTCCTCCCTCCAACTCCTGTCCTGCCCCCACCACTCTCAAATTCATGGCCTCTTTAATAATTCTGGTTGCTTATATATGCAAATGCATACACAGTATAAATGTAGCCTGCTGAATCCCTTAGTGTTACTTGTATGTGTATGATCTCAGGGCTGACCACTTGGTGGCCTTGCAGTATTCTTCAGTGTTCTTCCTGTGACGTAACTGTAGGTGTGGTTCTGAACACAGCATGCCTACTTTAGGTCACGAATGCCATCTCACCACACAGCACCAACAAATGCTGCCTGAATACCTTGGCTTAGATTTGAGACTGTTACATGTTATGAATTGCAATATTTTTTACTATGCATACAAGGCTTTCTGTCCTTGTGAAAACTGTTGTATTTGCTGTTTTCCATGCATTCCTCAGCTGTAAACATCAAATGGGTATATCTTTGGACTGTATGTGTTAGAGTGATTTTTTTAAAAAAGTACAGTGACATTTTATTTTCCACAATCCTCATACAGTAAACATTTCTGACCCTAAAAATGACCTAAACTTTAGCTTACTTCCTGTTGGATGACAGAGCAAATCTTCTGGGAATGCTGTATTGAAATCCAGACACTGCAGTGAAATACACTCTGTCATACTTGTAGACTGCTTGCTTTTTAAATTTGCTATTCAAGTTGCTGGATTAAATTTTACACACATACAAAAATCATCAAATGAAATTTGACTGAGGAATAGAACAGACTTTTCAACAATTTCTGAAATGGCCTTAAAAATACCTATATAGCATTTTGTACTATGTATTTGTGTGAAATGGCGTTCTTAATATTGACAATTATAAAATCAAATTGTTGTTCAACTCTGGAAAATGATGAAGATGCTTTGTATCCTGCAATACCAATTATTTAGTCAGAATTTAGTTATTTGCGTAAAATAAATACATAACATACATCTCATTAGTATGCAAATTACTTTGGTTTTTAATAAATTAGAATTATACTGAGAGAATTGTTTAAAAATTTAAGTGACTTATCAGTAAAAATTTGACTTGTATATCTATATTATATACTTATGTACCTGTAGTCATGTACAAATTTCTTGAGCAAAGAGGTTGTGAGTGGGAAAAGGAGAATGTATAGAAAGTATTTATAATTTGACCTAGCTGTCCATCCTTTATTTCCTACCATCCTTTACTGTGTCTGCAATAGAAAACAGTTACCATAGCAATGCCTGTATCATTCTTTCAGAGATCTGATAGCGGGTTTTTTTTTTTGTTTGTTTGTTTTTAAATCAATTTTCAACCCAGTTCAATCTCTCTTTTACCTAGAATTGCTCTTACTGCCACCTGGCGGCTTGCTGGAATCACTGATGAATATTTAAAAGGTTTTCTTTCTGTGTTTTAATCTATACATTTCAAAATAGTTTTATGTTTACAGAAAAGTCGTAGTGATGGTGCATGGAGTCCCTGTATGAGATTCACTGACTGCAACTAAGGAATTGACTCTCAGCAGTCTTAACGGCCTTCAGACTTCATTTAGATATCACAACGCGCCAACATCCTTTGATCACATATCCAAATTCAAATGCCGTATTGTCTTTACTTGATAGGTCTCGGACTTCTCCAGTCTGAGAAAACCTACCCTTTCCATGGTTCAGGTGCTTGTATGGAGCACTAACCAGCCATGGAACTGAGGTTCCTTGAGTTTCTTTGGTATCCCATCATTCACCAGGGCTGTCATTTTGGGGAAAAACATCAGAGGTTCTGAGTCCTTCTCCTTCCTGCCCCTTCTGTCAGGGGCACCTGATCACAACCGGGTCAGGGTGTGTCCCCGATTTCCTCTAGTGTGAGTTAGCACTTTTACTTTACTACACATGTGTCTGTATATCATGAAGTCCCGTCAGCTCCCAAGAGGAGCAAATATAAGCTTTATCTTTTAGAGTTACAAAAAATAAAAATAAAAATGATAGATAGATAGATAGATAGATAGATAGATAGATAGATAGATAGACAGACAGACAGACAGACAGACAGACAGACAGATAGATAGATAGATAGATAGATAGATAGATAGATAGATAGACTGAAGAACAGTGACATGTTAAAACCACCATGGTAACTAAACAGTATTTTGAGGGAGATGCTTGGGCTATGTCAATGTCCTGTTTTGCCCACTGATATAGCACTCATCTGGGAAATCTCATCTACATAACTATTATTCTGGTGTCCCAAAACTGACACTAAATTCTTTCTGTAAGATTTTTCTCCCTTCTTTTCCATGTATTTACTTTATGCAATTGTGTATCAGTATATACTCATAGACATATAGTTTATGCCTTGGGCTATCATGCAGTGTGATCTTTATTTTGTTGCTCAAATTGTTCTGTCAGTGGCCATGGGGCTCTTTTGGGTGTGACCTACCCCCTTCATCCCAATCCATTCCCTACCTTTTAAAACAATACCTTCCACTTTTGATGCAGTAGTAGCTCAGGCTTCACTTTCTATGTTTTCAGCTACCTATGATCAATCACAGTGTAAAAAATAAGAAGTGGACAATTCTAGAAATATTTTGTAAGTTTTAAACTGTACTCTGCTCTGAGTATCAGGATGATATTGCTCATCATCCTATATAGGACAGGAATTATCCCTTAATCTGGCATATCCATGCTGTATATGTGACCAATCCATCAGACCACTCAGCAGCCGTCTTGGTTAGCAAACCTCTGTCGTCACAATATCACAGTGGTTATGTTCAGGTGATCCTAACTGTGGCCTGATACTGTGTCACCAGGGCCACTGCGTCTACATCATTCAACCTCACTTCATCTCATTGCTCAGTCCTTGTGCCTCTCTCACGGCATCACAAGACGGATAAGTACAGTACAGGCTGGAGGGGAGAGGGGAGAGGGGGAGGGAGAGAGGGAGAGCAGGAGAGAAGGATAGAAAAAAGAAAGCTGGAGAGAGGGGAAAGTCTAGAGAGAGAAGGAGAGACAGAGAGGGTTCTATTCTCATGCATGTAGGCCTGTGTGGTGTACATTATATAGGTAAATTGTGTGCTGTTTGAGCTCACCAAGAAGCTGGATCTAGAAGCAGGCTTGCACCCCTCTCTCAAGCTCAAGTATGTTTATGCCAAGTGTCCTCTAAGACCCCCTGTGTGGCAGGGAGGAAAGAAGAGCCAAAGAGTCAAAGCATTGTGTCCTTGAGAACAGCTGGAAGGTGAGCCATTTCAAACAGATGTTCCTATTGTTGTCCCATGCTATAAAAGTGTCTGCAATGGGAAAGACAGACTCGAAGATCAGCTGTGGGAAGCTCCTCAGAGGGGAGAAAGCTCTGGGGAACTCCAGCTGAGTGCCTCAACTTCCCTTTGGACATTAGGCTACATGTTTACAAGACCCTGATTTGGTGGTGTTAGCTTCCTGGTGTTCTTTGTTCCTTTTTCCTGCTGGTCTCTCACAAAGGTATACTGTGCTCTGCCTGGGACTCTCTCTGTTGGGAACTCCGACTGGCTGACTTAAAGGGCTTCCTCAGGTGATTTCTACCTGATTTGATGATGTTCTACTATCTATCTATCTATCTATCTATCTATCTATCTATCTATCTATCTATCTATCTATCTATCATCTAACTAGCTAGCTATCATCATCATCCTCATCATCATCTGCTATTCATTCTTTTACTTTGGCTTATTGTGTACTTAAAAACCTCACTCATTCAAAACCAAAAGCATAGCTACTGCAGTTCATTTCTCCAGAGCATGCAAAACAGTAATGTGTGTGTTGCGGGGGCGGGGGTGTGTATGTTGCACACATAGACAGGCATGTGCAATCTGGAAGCTGGTGTTGGATACCTTCCCTGATTGCTCTCCACTCAGAATTTCAGAGGCATGATCCCACACTGACCTGGAACTCACCAACTCCAGCCTCTCTGTCCAGCCAGCTTTCTTTTGGATCCCATCTCTGCCTTCTGAGGGCTGGGATTATAAGTGACCCCATGCCATCTAGGCTTTTGTTTTTTTCCTTTTGCATGATGTGCTGGTAAATTTTCTCAAAAAATTGACATAAGCTAGAGTCACTTGAGAAAAGGGAATCTCAACTGAGGAACTGCCTTTTAGAAGATTGGCATGTGGGCACGTCTGTTGGGTAGTTTATAGATTAATGATTGATATGGGAGGTTCAGCTCACTGTAGGTGGTGTTACCCTAGGGCTGGTGGTCCTGGGTGGTATAAGAAAGCAGATTGAGCGGCCATGAGAAGCAAGCCGTCAGAAGCTCTCCTCCATGGCCTCTACATCAGTTCCTACCTCCCAGTTCTATCTGTCCCTTTGCCTAGGGCTCCTTCAATGGCACAGTGGCCTCTGTCCACTTTTCCGGGGGTCTCCAGGCCAGCATCTTTCTCTTCACCCACACTTTCACCATAGCTTTCTTTCAGTGTATGGTGCAGTCCTTACCACACTGTGCTGACCTCACGCACTCAACTGATAGCCCCAAAGTGTAGCTACTGGGGTCAGTGTATGGTCCTCCTTAGTCATCAGACCGGGACCACCAGCCTCAGACAGGAAGCCTTCATCATCAGCCAGTGAGTAACTCAATCTGGTCCTGGAATTCTCACAGAACCCTCACAGGTACCCAAGGGATGTAGAACACAGGGCTGGAGCAGCTATTGGCTCTCTTTGGATGACCACGAACAAGATGGTGACCATTTAAGCTTGAGCCTGGTCAGGCTGGTTGGACTTGAGGCAACTCAGGCTACAGAAGTAAAATCTGCACCCAGGTGTCTGGTTGGAAGGCCAGAGGGAAACACTTGGACATAGAGTTGGGTTGGAGGAAGTAGGTAACCAGAGGACCGTCCTTAAGGGCGGGTCTTGTCCCCAGCCTCTTCTTCTTGGTCACTTCTCTCTGCCTTTCGTCTCTTAGAGATGAACTCTCTGTTCCTCTGGGTTTTCACCACGGTGCCCTGTCCCACTACAGCACAGGAACAGTGGGCCAGCTGACTGTAGACTGAACTAGCTCTACTGACTAAGCTGCCACCCAGTCTACAGATACATATTTTTGATTGACAGGAAAAGACGTCAAGATTGGCTGAAGCTGCGGTGGTGGATGTGGGTGGGGTAGGAGGTGAGTTGGGGAGGTGGAGGGCTCCCTTCATGAACCCAAAGAAAACCTTCCTTCTTTCTCTGGCATTTTGTCACAGCAACGAAAGAGTAACTAACGCAGAAGAAAACCTAATTAAACAGAAATGTAATATCACAAGGGAGTCCACTGTGGACTATTCAAGGTCTTGCCTATTTGGGCAAAAGGACTGTGTGGTTTGAAGTTCTCTTGAATACAAAGTTGCAAGGGAAATATGAAGTTAGTGGGAAAAAAACATTCACTGCTCTTTTCTAACAGTAGAGCAATGTGTCATGGATGGTATTTGTTATTGACGACATAAGACCACAAAGTATTAATTGAGATCAACACAGATGTCTGTTTTCCCTGACAGCATAGACTTAAGGGATAAGTGTGTGTGTGTGTGTGTGTGTGTGTGTGTGTGTGTGTGTGTGTGTGTGTGTGTAGGTCAATAGTTCTCAACATTTCTAATGCTGCAACCCCTTAATACAGCTCCTCATGTTGTGGTGATCCCCAACCATAAAATTATTTTTTTGCTACTTCATAGCTGTAATTTTGATACTGTTTTGAGTTATGTAGATATCTGATGTGTGACCCCTGTGAAAGGGTCGTTTGGGGTCACGACCCACAGCTTGAGAGCAACCAGTGTAGGCTAAAGGACAGTCTTGACTGCCAGACCTCAGATACTGTCCGCTTGTTTCTGACAGAGGGTCTCTCATTAGTCTGGGTCTTACCAAATAGGCCAGGTTGGCTGAGTAGCGATCAACTTGTCTCCTCACTAGAATGTCCCGTACCTGCCACCATAGCTGACTGTTTGCGATGGAATCTGAGTATTGAACTCAGGTCCTCATGATAGTGCATAGCAAGCACTTTACAAACCAAGCTGGTCCCCTGGCCAATCTTTTTGACTGACTGACAGGAAAAGATGTCAAGATGAGCCGAAGCTGCAGTGGGCATGGTGGGTGAGTAGGGAGGTCACCTCAGGGAACCTTCCAGGTGCTTTTTCTCTCTGGTACCACTCTCTTAATTAGTCTCAATGTATGCATTGCAGCTGTGAAGCCAGGTAACTTAGTAGGTGGGGTAAACATTTGAACCTTTACGACGATTGTCTTAGTTACCATCCTAGTGCTATTCAGAGACACTATGACCAAGGCAATGCTTATAAAAGAAAGCATTTCTAGGATTTTCCCAGTGGAAATTTTAGGGTTAGCTATCTGTACTATCGTATCATCTGTAAATAAAGATACTTTGACTTCTTCTTTTCCAATTTGTATCCCCTTGATCTCCTTTTGTTGTCTTATTGCTCTAGCTAAGACTTGAAGTGCTATATTGAATAGATATGGAAGGAGTGGACAACCTTGTCTTGTTCCTGATTTTAGTGGAATTGCTCTGAGTTTCTCTCCATTTAAGCTGATGTTGGCTATGGGCTTGCCGTAAATTGTCTTTATTGTGTTGCGGTATGTCTCTTGTATCCCTGATCTCTGCAGGATTTTTATCATGAACCTCATGCTCAGGAGTAGTTGGCCAACAAATAATGGATTCCATAGGATTTTTGTGTGTGTGTGTGTGTGTGTGTGTGTGTGTGTGTGTGTGTGTGTGCGCGCGCGCGCTTTTATTTAGTTATAGTTTGGTGGCTTTTTTTTTCTTTCAAAGTGTGGTTTTATTAGTTTTGGGAAATTTTTTTGTGGTATTGAGTTTTTGTTTGTTTTTTTGAAAAAGAACTTAATGTTGGGTGGGTAGGGAGGGGGAGAGGCTCTGGTAGGACTTCAGGGGAGGGGAAGAACATGGTCAAATATAGTTAAATTTAAGAATTGTTTTAAATAATAGAAATATAAGTTTCATGAGGTTAGACCATGATCATAATGGCAGGAAGCAGACAGGCATGGTGCTGGGGCAGCAGCTGAGAGCTTTACTTCATGATCCACAGAGAGCAGTCAGAGAGAGAGAGAGAGAGCAACTAGGTCTGTCATGGGCTTTTGAAACTTCAAAGACCACCCCAGTGACGTAACTCCTCCAACAAGGTCACACCTTCTAATCCTTCCCAAACAGTTCCACTAACTGAGGACCAAGTATTCAAATACATGAGCCTATAGGGGCCATTCTCCTTCAAACCACCACATTGACCTCACAGGAAAAAGCCAACATTTAGGAAAGGAAAAGCCAACCAAAGGAAAGAATTGTCAGCAGTAGGCAGGCTGTCAGGTAGGAGGCCAGCAGTGGATTTCCTGGGTATCCAGTTTCTCTTCACTTGGGCCCACCCACCACCACCATCAATTCAGTTCAAGTAGCAGGGTGAAAGGAAATGTAAAATGGTGCGTGTTGCCTGCTGGAGACATCCTAAAATGGTTCCATAGCTGTCATAACAGACATCCCTCTAGGAAACCCACTGAACTGTTGATTGAAAGCTCCCACTACAAATGCGAGATTTCTCCAAAATTCATAAACACATCCTGTGGCTACTCTCTGGGACTGTGTATGTGAGCCAAGTGATGCCGAAGGAACCATTTTAAAGCAGGCAAAAAGCAAAAGCTTTGGCAAGAAGCTCCCGTTTTGCGAATTTCCAAAGAGATAAGAGCATTCTTTGGAGGGAATCCAGGTGAGGGATGACGTGGGGTTTAGACTGAATCTCCCCACCCACTGTGTGGAGCCTGGTACAGAGCAGGTGCTTGTTGAAGAGGTTTTTAAAGCATATGCCGAGTGTGTGCCCCTTTTGTATTTGTTGGATCTGAGGTGGGGAGAGGTTGGCTAGTTTGCAACAAGATGTTTGGAAAGTTAATGGCTGTACCAGGGACCATGCATGCAGCTTTGTTCCTGGCATTCACTGTGCTGAGTAGAATCAGGACTGACTTCTCCACTGGGCAGAGTACCCAGGGATCACAAAATGCTTAGTCTCTGAAAAAGTTTCATTGCCTATAAAGTCAGAGGGAGAATTTTATACTCACACAGTCACAAATATGATCTTTGACTTTTTCTTCGAGGGAGGAGATGGCCCCTGAAAGCCACAATTCCACCTGGGCTGTTTGACCTCCTACTACACAAGGAAGAAATAGCCTGATGGGTCTTTCTCCATGGATGCCACCACAAATGACCTTTCAACTATAGCTTCCTTTCTCCCCCAACTGCCCCTCATTTAAAAGTCAGGCTTGTGTCTACTTTGCATACAAGGGAACTCTGTTTACTGTACATTTCTAAAGGTCCAAACGAACTCATGCAATGGTGAAACGACCTCTACGGTGAAGACGTGTCCATTGTCCCCAAATACTTCCTTCAACCTCTTTAGGGTCACCCCAACCCCTAGCTCTTGGAAACCAAGACTTGAATTCTCTAGTGTTACCTGATTTAGAACATAGCACAGGAATCTAATACTGCATAGCCAGTGTGCCTGGTTTCTCTCACTCAGCACAATATACACGAGACTCGTCTGTGCTGCTACAGGAGTCTATCAATAGCTCATTCATTTTTCTGTGAGATGTATTCCAGATAGAGATACATCACATTAAAAAAAATCTATTCACTACTGGAAGCACATTGTGGTGTTTTTAGTCTTTGATAGTACCAAAACCTTGGCAATCATTCTGTTGTACGGCTTAGAAGGGGAGCTGGGTGTGTAGGCAGAGTTAAGGTTGCCCACCTTAGGTAAGAATGTGGCTCCTGGATTATTTGGAGGGTGCAATCTAATCACAGAGTCCTCAGAGCAGATAAATGTTCCCGGTTCTGCTGAGAAATACTAAAATCTCTAGTTATATTTAACCTCACCGGCAGCAAACACTAGGCTAGACCTGGGAATGACTTGCCCTTGAAAATGTGGAATCCAGGAGTTCTTTCGGTCAGCAGGCATTTACTGTGCACAAGAGGAGGAGACTCAGGCCTGATAATGCTGGAGAGTGAGAGTCGGTGACCCCACCGACGGAAAAGCACCAAGATCCAACGTTTTTATTTATGCAGCAATTACAATGCTGCACCCTGGATTTGTGCCGAATTAAAGAAGCACAGAGTCCCAAGTTTATGATGGTTCAAGCTTAGGATTCTTTTAATTTTATAATGATGTGAAAGCAATGCCCATTCCGTAGAAAGCATAGTTTGAGTTTTGATTTCGTTTGTTTGGAGACAGCATTGAGGCTAGAATTTCAGGTGAAATTGATGCTTTCCTGTCTCACCACCTGCAGCACCATACTGTCTGGAGAAGCTGGGCGGCAGCAGGAACGGGCAGCCCTCAGCCAGCTGCACTGCCACATCCTATTGTGTGCTGTGTGACTCAGCTGTGATGCTCAGCGGTTTAGATGAAGTGCTATTGTCAGCCTTCAATGGGCTCATCAGGACGTAGTCCCATCATTAGTCAAAGAGCATCAGTATTGTCCAAATAATAATTCCAATGACCTCACTTTACAGGAAACCATCAGAAATGTCAGGTGACATCTCCAAGATCCAAGGGAGGAAGAGGTGCTTGTGGTGTCTTCTGTCTCCTTGGTCATGAAGGGATCCACAAGCTCCCAGGGGCCTCCCTTTTTCTTTCTTCCATTATCAGGGAAGTAAGTATTGGGTAAAGGTAGTTAATATGGTTGGACTAGGGAAGTGCAGGCTGATTCCAGTGATGCTCTGCTGCTGAGTAAATGAGTCTGTATGAACAGACCATGTCCTACATGCTCCCTACATGAAGAGACCATGTTCCTTTACCTGCTTCAAGATGCAGAAAGGGGTTCCTGTAGGAATGCCATCCCATTATCACAGCCATAGGTACCTGCTCAGCTGTCTGGGTCCCTGCAACTCAATACTAGTATCACGGGAAGCTGCTTGCCTGGGACAGAATTTGCTGGCCTTGTTTGTTTATTTGTTTTGTCCTGGAAATGAAAAGCTTGAAGTTATTAGATGGTCTCAGGTCCTTTCCAGCTTGGAGGTGCTAAGATGCGGCCGGGCACTTTGTGAGGTTTAAGCTGAAGAAAGCTGAAATAGAGAAAGGTCTGTTCCCCGAGGTCTTTACTTCCTAGTGGCTGAAGCTGCCCCTGAAATAGAAAAGCTTTGTCTCCCACCCCTTTGACAAGTGGTTTCCACTCACCTTCTTTCCTAACCTCTCTCCTTGGGTTCACTTCGATTCACTGTCAACTTTGGGTTTCTAAGGAGCGTTCTAAAGGTCTGTGTCAACCTTTCTTATAAATTACTGGGGACTGAGCATGGAAAGAAAGTTCACTGTGTTTCTATACAAATCTCTATGAGCTTTCTTTTTTATTTGTCCTCAATTTGGGCCAAAGAAACGAAAGAAGGAAAGAGCTCTTTTTACTTAGAAGGAAACGGGGACATCAAAGCCCAGAAGTTTCTCTTTGGTCAGCCTCCCATTGTGTTGCTGTCCTCCCAAGGGCTGGACACCCAACACTCCCCCAGAGGTTCTCAGGGTACAGACAGTGGAGCTGGAAACCCAAGTCTCGCTCCTGGGGGCTGCAGCCAAGGAGGGTGTGTCTGCAAGAATAAAGGAAGCTTGACTCAGGTTCCCTGCAGCTTGCCTATGCCTTGTCCAGTCAACCCCCCTCCCCGCCACCAGCTACCATGGCCAGCCAAGCCGTGAAAGGAGAGACCAGAGCAGCCTTGCAGGGTGGAGAGATTCCCAGCCCCCTGGATGCTGGTGGCAATGGGCCCTGCTCTCAGCTGCTGCAGTCTCATGGCTCAGAGCTACTCCTGGACCACGGACACCTGGGCTTCTCCATCCTCACCCAGCTGCTTCCCCTGCGCCCGCCATTCTTCTCAATCCTCTCTGGCCACTGTTCCTTCCCCACTCACCCTCCGCTGCTTTTCTCTTCTGTTCTTCCTCCGCTGTGCCACTGTCTTCCTTCCCCCTCCCCCACCCCTCCCGTCTCTCTTGGTTCCCTTTTCTTTCAGCCACTCTCACCATGCCCTCGTTTGGCGTCTCATCATAGAGTTGCTTAGCAGCTTCGAATGGCGGACACACCCGATGTCCAGGGTCACCTACAAAAGGCAACTACATTTTTGATCTCTTGAGTCAATTGTATTTGTCTTTAGATTGTCTCTTTTGGTCTCTCTCTCTCTCTCTCTCTCTCTCTCTCTCTCTCTCTCTCTCTCTCTCTGGTGCTCTAAAAGCTTCATTGTGTGACGCGTGCCCATTAGTAAATCAAGACTGATTTCTTCAGGGATTTGGGAAAGGGAAAGAAGCTAGTTACCTCTATTTCATACCATATCTAGGTGTTTTCTATATCGTAGAGTGAGGCAACCCTCCTCTTCATTCAAGGGGCCCCCAAAAACTTGATCCCCAAAAAATCCGCCTGTATGAATCATCTCCCTGGCCAGTGCAGGCCTCCCTCTCCATGCTGCTGACGGAGCTTGACGAAGCAAATGCCTTACTTCCCAGAGGGAGAAGAGATAGCTGTAATATGGCCTGGGGTCCTGGCAGGGCTGCTGGGCTGAGGAATTGAAGAGCCACATCTGTAGCACCTCCCTCCAGGACTAGCCAGGCACCCTCCCCTCATTGGTTACTGGCCATGGCATGGAAGGCTTTTGTACTCTGTCACAGAGAGACCAAGCCTCCAGATGCCTGGTGGAGACTAGAAAAATTTAGTATGCATTCTCTACCACTTCCCCACACTCAGGCCAGCCTCCTGGCCCACTGGGTCTGGTATTTACTGCAGAGGCCACAAGACTATGTATGAAGGGCTTCTGAGGGGTCCTGCAGCTTGGCTGGTGTGGCTTTCTGTGAGGCACATCTGCTGTTTCGGTTCGGCAGATTCCAATAGCACATCATCAAAAGCAGGGAATCTTAATTTGATTAGTTATTTCGTGGTAAACATTGACATTTAATTGGATCGAATAGTCTCAGAACATGTTGGCGTGTTTTCCTACAGGTGGAATGTTCTTTTCACTGTTGATGAAAAGCAAAGCTTAAAATAATTCTTGGGGCCAGAAATACCAACACTGTCCCCTCTTGTAAGGGGGTGGTGGTGTTGTCTTTGTTGTGAATGAAATGGAGATTATAGATTCAGTTTTGGGGACAGGGAGCCAGCTATCTATTAAAATGTGTCCAGATGCAAGTGTGAAATAATCTTCTAACAATCTGGACATCCTAGTGTTTTCTCAAGATCATCGAGAGTAACTATTTGTTATCCATGCTGAATTCTAGCCTCCTAATCAGATAAACTGCCTGCTGTCCTCTGTCCCCACGATGTGTGCTGTGTAAGGAGTCTGACTTTCCAGTCAGAGGTGAAGGTTTGAATCTAGGTTCTCGGGTTATACTCCATCCTTCAGCTCCGGTCCAGAGAGATTTATAAATCCGCGCAGTGGGAGAGCAAAGCGTCCACCCGCGCCTGCATTGTTCTTACTCCAGGAAACCACTAGGTGGCGTGCGCGCAGAGAGCGCTCCATCTGCTAAGCTTCCTGGCATCAGCTACTACTCTACTTCGTGGCTCTAAGTGTGTTACAGCCTTCTGTGAGTTTCTCTCAGATTAAATTAAGGCCAGTCATTTTGGGACAAATGATGGGATGGCCATTGCTTTACTGCCAAGGCACACATCTATCCAGACTTGCATGATGAGTGATACAGGCAGAAAAAAATGCAACGAAGAAAGGGACCGGGGTCGGGGGGTAGGGTGGGAGAGTGAGTGGGGTGGGGTGGGGGGTGGGGGGAGTGAGGGAGTGGTGTGTGGGAAAGAAAGGCAGGAAAGGGTCCCTGAGAAAAGGGACAGACCGAGAAGGCAGAAGAGCGACCCTGGGAGAGAGGAAGAGAGCTCATATTTTATAGAAGGGAGGACTTTAATTTTGAAGCCAAAATAGAAACAACCTTTTTCTCTCAATCCAGGAGCCATGAGGGCAGCGGCTCCGGAGCAGACGGAGGGTCTGGTTGCTCAGCCTGTGAGACCCCGGTGAAGACTACTCCCCATAACCTTTTTTGGGTTGAAGATGCCCTCATTCTCTTGTATTGCAGAGGTAAGCTAAGTGAACAGCTGCTCCTGGGCCACTGGCCGATCTACTGAGTAGGGCAAGGTGTCCAGCTGTACTGATTTTCATCTAATCATTCTGAGTGGGAAACCACTCATGGGAACTTAAAAATACTCTATTTTAATTTATTATTATTATTATTATTATTATTATTATTATTATTATTATTGATGGTGGTATGTGTGTACATGTAACAAAAACATATTTAGAGATTACAGAGCATTTTTGTACAGTCAGTTCTCTTCTTCTACATGAATTCTTGGGCTGGAACTCAGCATTCCAGGATCACAAAGGAAACCTTTTACCCACTGAGATATATCCCCCATTCCCAGAATGTGGAAAATTATAAGGCTGGAGGTTAATTCTTCAAGACACAGGGTTGTGTCCTGGAAGGATGCAGGCCAGGATTGTAGTTTCCTGTTGGAAGGCTGAGGGAGTGGATCACCCCATACTCTCACACATCCCTTTAAGGTTTTTTCCTGGAGCTGTTTCTCAAAGCCATGGAGAGAAGACAAAGGCTGAGCTTGGGGTATGCTTCTGGGCTCTGTATCTTGTATTCTGTCTACTCTATGGCCTTAATTGGGGTCCGCAGGCGGGTACAGGAAGGAAGTTTATACCCACTTCAGGCATAAACATTCCTGCCTCTTCTATCCACACTGGCAGATTTCTTTCCCTAGGGCTGGGGTTGGGGAAGAGAAGGGGGTTGGGCATCTATGGCGTGGGAAATAGAGGAGAAAGATGGAAAAGGAGCCAGATTTCTACAAGCTTGCCACTTGGAGAATGTCTTCAACTCAGTTTGAAGGAATGAAGTCCCACGGTCTCCTGAGGCTGGAGGACATGCTTCTGGGCCGGTGTGTGAACAGCCAGAGTGCCTCTCTGGTTCCCTTCAGCATGACTGGTGTGACCTCAGTGCATACTCACGTGTCATGAGAGCCAGCAGAAGGTCAACAACAATTTTCTATAACAGTTTTATGGAGCCAGTCTGGCTTGGTGGCCTTGAGAACTAAGTGAGTCTCCCCAGATCTCAGCTCTTGCATCTGGTGGCGCCCAGTTATGAATGTGGCTCAGAAAGTACGTAAAGATAGTGTAGAGGACTTAGTCCAGTGCCTGGCACAGAGATATCACCACATCCATGACAGAAAGGCCTGGTTTATCTGTATTCCAAACAGCTTCAGAAAATATCCTGGACCATGAGCATTTAAAAGAATGCTGTGCTTGTTGTTTATTTGTCTTACAGGCCGGTTTACTATCGTTTTTTTTGAGGGGCCACTTGTAAAGCAGAGGTGAGAAATTTAACAAGAGAATGGAACAACTGACTCCGGGAGCTGGTTGCTCTTCCAGAGGATCTGAGTTCAAGACTCAGCACCCACATGGATGGTGGCTCAGAGCTGTCTGTTACTCCAGTTCCAGGGGATCCAGTGCCCTCTTTTGGCCTCTTTGGGCATCAGGCATTCATGTGGTACACAGACATACATGCAGGTAAAACCCCCAGACATGTAAGAAAGCCACCCTACACCCTAAGAAAAAAAACCAAAATCAAAAAATTCCCAAACCAAACAACAACAAAACCCTCCCAACCAGGTAAAGCACTGAGCTTTCCAGAAGCTAAAATACTAAAGAAAACTACCAGCTTGTGGTAAAAGTCTCTAGTGAAGTCCATATCATGCACATTTGCTTTGCCACTCCCTACACAAAGAGACTGGGCTCTACACAAGATGTCCTGAGCTGGAACTTTGGTTTAGTCCACGCACTGTAAGACCTGTATGATCTGGCAAGAGGATACAGCCCACGACTCTGGGGATGCCTGAAACAGTGGGAAGTAAAGTGTTCCCATTGCATACCAACCTGCTCGACCTCTGCAACCTACATCTCATCCACTCTATGACTGGCTAGTTTATAACTTAGGCAAATAAGAGACTAACAACAATAATAAAATAAAATGATCATAGCAATATATGGTAATAAATGTTATATGAATGTTTTCTTTCTTGTCTCTTAAGACTTACTTGAACAAAAGCATTATGACAGTCCAGATGTCATCCTGTAGCCAAGATGGCTACATATTGATAAAAGGCAGATAGCATATCTCAAGGATGACCTCTCCTGAGCCATGGTGATGCAAGAGACCTAGGAAGTCTGGGACAAAGTCTCTGCCTTCTGCTGGCTTGGTTGTCACAGGCCGGAGCCTGCAGCTTCTGTAAGCCACCCTCTGAGCATGAGCAAAGGGAAGCCGAGCCAAGAGAGATGGTTCCTGGTAACTCACCAAAGCCATCTCTTTCCCAAAACTTTTCATTTGTGAGACAGAAATGTATTTTCATATATTAATCCATTTTGTGTTGGGATTTCCATCACTTTGATGCCAAGATTTCAAGACCACACTCCCCATCCCAAGTTCTACAATGTCCCTCCCCTATTGTGGTGCAGTAAAGAGCCCCACCAGGAGTGATCTGGACCAACACCAAACAAGGTTGCCAAGTGAGTCCCCAACGTCTACAAGTAACACCAGCATCAGCATTTTTGCTAGGACAACAGAGTGGCCTCCTGAAAGACAGACTGCTGAGTTATCCAGGGGAGGCATTGGAAGGCAGAGAAACAGGGCCAGGGAAAGGGGTTGGTAGTTCAGATAGAGCAATAGTAGGGATGCATTATGCATATCGGACCCACACCAAGGACTGCGACCCATAGAAAGAGCACTCCTGGCTGGGACAAGGACAAAGCAGCCAGCCAGGCTGAGGTGAGGACGGCTACAGATCTTAGGTGCAGCTAAAGCGCGTGGACTTTGCCTGTAGATACGGAGGAGAATTGCTGCCTTGCGTGACCTGACAAGTCAGCACAAATGTGACAGATCACCAGCATCAGACCATGACATGGCGGCGAGGAGTCCCTGTTCTAGGCCACTGCAGTGATGCAGGCTCAGTACAGCCCATGCCTAACCCAAGTGGAGAAGAGTGAGTGGAGTTAAGGCAGGCCAGGGCAGAGAGAGATGCAGCGTTCACAGTGAGCCTTGCTCGCCTGCTCAGGGCCTTCTCCTTGCAGGCATCAAGTGCCAGTTCTAAAGTAGTAAAGCCTGTTGCGAGAAGAATGGAGTTTCCGCAGCAGCAGAATTTGCTTTGTTTGGCTTGCTGAGGGAGATTATCAGTTTGCCTTTTCTGCTCCCACCACACCCTCTGACTCACCCCATGGGCCGTAGGCGTATTCTGCTCATCGGAGCAGCACATTGCAATAAATCTCTCCTTTTCCTGCAAACATCTCCTTTCAAGCAGTGCATTCGGTTGATATTAATGTATACTTTTTTGGTACTGTTTGTTTGTTTATTTTAGACAGAAGCTCACTATGGCTTCTATAGCCCAGGCTGGCCCGGAACTCACAATGTATCACAGGCTAGATCTGGACTCAGAACCACCCCCTTGCTTTCGTCTCTCAAGTGCTAGAAGCACGGGTGTACGTTACCATACAGATTTTTTTTTTTTTTTTGAATCATTGAAAAGAAGCTCTCGGAGACTGTTGCATTTAAAAGCAAAGAGGAATGAGCATTTGTGAATTTGGCTTACAGATGTTAGGAAATGTCAAAAGCTATTTGCTGAGTGGGGAGTATTATGAGGTAAGTCCTGTGTGAGGGCCAGGAGACCCCAAAAATCTGGCTGCGCCCTTTCGCTAACAGACACCTTCACACGCACCTTCAACACGCCCCTTGACGTTGCTGTTCCTGCGTTTCCTCACCCACCCTAAAGCCGTCCCCGCTATGTGATTTTAAACATTTGTCTTAAATACTGGGGAGCCCTCAGGTGCGTGAGGTGAAGGGGAAGACTTTGCCGTATAGACAGCAGCAGGTGCTTGAAGGTGCAGGACTCATTCCGGCTGCCTCGTTAGTTTTGTGGGTCTGGGGCCAAGTTGAGCCTTATCAGGCCCTTGTGCCTAAAAAGCACCGTATAATGGTATTTTATTTGTACTGAAATGTGATTTTATTTGTATGTTAATAAATAAAGTTGCTTGGAGGTCAGAGCTAACAGCAAGCCATAGCAGAGCTGGGCGTTTGTGGTGCACGCCTTTAATCCCAGCACTTGGTAGAAGAGTTAGGTAGATCTCTGTGTGGTTAAGGATACAGCCAGCATTGGAGACACACGCCTTTAATCTCAATACCATAGAACACCTGGAGGGCTGTACATACAGGCAGTGACGAGGCAGTCATGTGTTTGGGTTTACAACCAATGAGAAGGCAGAACAGAAAGACTTTATCAAGACAAACACACAGGAAGTAGGTCTCTTTCAGAGAGGTAGGACCACCGCAGGAGGAAGGATAAGGTTTTAGCTCTGATCTCTGATCTCTTGGCTTTCTTCTTTGCATTGGTTCTGTGTTTCTTATTTAATAAAACAGTTGGTTACATCTACACACCTGTTCCACTTCTAATAGACCAGAGACAAAATGAACCCTGTTGTGGTTTGTGTGAGAAAGATCCCCCACAGTGTCATGTGTTTGAACACTTGGGCCATTCTGACCACATTCATCTTTGGGGAGATTAGAGGACATTGAGGGGGTGGGGCCTTATGTGAGTTGCTGTGGGGAGGGTGGGTGTAGGGTTATAGATGGGCCCCTCTTCTATACATTGTAGCTGAAAGTGTTCCTGTGTCCCACCCAGTCCCCAGCTGCTCAGACCCAAGTAAACACACAGAGGCTTATATCAATTAAAACTGCTCGGCCATTAGCTCAGGCTTCCTATTGACTAGCTTTTACACTTAAACTCACTCAGCCCATTTCTGTTAATCTATATGTCACCACATTTTCTGTGACTTTACCTGTGTGCCATTACACGCTGCTCCCTGCTCTTCACCCTCCAATTTGGAAAACCAGAGGGTTTTTTTGTTTGTTTGTTTGTTTGTTTGTTTTTTGTTTTTGTTTTGTTTTGTTTTGTTTTTTAGCAGATTTGCCATCAAAAAAGAAAACATTTATTGCACAATATCACTTTAGGGCCAGGTAGCCTGGAATTCACTAGAGCCACACAAGGCCAGTGTGCACAAGGTATGGGAAACCCAGCAAGAGCAATGAACACCACCCGGACATCAGGGGACATAGAGCGGGACCCAAGTAGTTTTGCATCTGACCTAAATACATCACTTTTCAGAATCCTTGAGGATGAAAGGGGGGGCTTAGAAAACACACTCAGTATACATAAAGCGTGTGTGTGTGTATATGTGTGTGTGTGTGTGTGTGTGTGTGTGTGTGTGTGGGAGGGGATGTCTGACAATCTGTGAACCAGTATGGCACTCAGGAGGCAAATCTCTGAGTTCAAGGCCAGCCTGGTCTACAGAGTGAGTTGTTCCAGGACAGCCAGGACCACACAGAGAAACCCTGTCCCAAAACACACACACACACACACACACACACACACACACACACAAAAAAAAAGACAGAAAAAGAATGATCCACACTCAACTAGAGAAATCTCAAGAAAGACAAGCTGACGGCATCCCTGTGAGGAAGGTGTGAATGGACTATCCAGGGAGGGAGGGACTGAGAAAGAAAACACCCCTGCGCTGTTTTCGGTTTCTAGATTCCACATATAACGATGGCTAACCGGATTGGTCTAATTTTCTTCAAGTAGTGTTTCTGCATGTTAATGTTGTGACAGAAACATTTCACTTACTCTACCTTAGTTATGATGAGGAGCAACATTATTTGTCTTTGGAATATTAGACCTACTCTGTGACACTACTCTATGACACTGTTCCTCTGTGCTACATGATTTCACCCTCGGTCAAGAAGAGCCAGCATAACAACTTCAGTTGAGTGCTCTTGGCCAGTGAGGGTTTGGGCTTGTTCCTGGAAGCTCTCCAGCTCTGTGAGAACTGTTGCAATACGTGTTATTCTCTTTCCACTCTGTGGTTGGTATTTGGGCAAAACATTTAAGCCGCTGTTGACTAGCAGGGGGCTCGCAAGTGAAATCACCGCACCGCACTCGAAACAGAAGAAAGGCAGGTTGAGAGCTTAGGTGAATGCACAGTGGCAGTTCAAGGTGCTTGCTTCAACGAAGAGGCAAAGGGAGCATGATGGGGCCGACCAGGCATCCCAGCGATGCAGACGTGTTCTGTCGTCATGAAGTGTCGCATATCTGCACACCAGCCCGGAAGAACCAACTGCAGTTTAGAGGCTGCAGCTGGGATCCTGCCATCGCTCCACGGCATATGAATCAGGAGGGCAAGAAATTGCCACCCCAGAACCTAAGAAACATGGCCCCCGTGGTCCTGGACAACCCGTGCAACTCCTGGATTCAGCCAGTGCTCCACTTTCCCGGCTAATCTGCCCCCCAACTGATGGGGTGTGTGTTGAGTACAAAATATTGGGGTTACTTTTTCTATTTTTAACTTCATAGTGTATCAATACGTTCCAGAGAACTTCGCATATCAGCATGTGTATGATCTATCTTTTTCTTTCTAAAGATTCCACAGTGTTCCTTTGTATTAACCTACCATAATTTTTTAAATCACCTGTCAATGAATGGGTATCTTCACTGTTTCCATTTTTCTTTGTTACAAACAACACTGCAGTTGCTGTCCTCCTTTAAAGTTATAATATTGATTTTTCATGTATCTAGTTTTTGTAACTTTAAATGTCGATACCTTCAATAGCATTGAGGGACCATTAACAAGTTTTAAACTTAGTGACTCATGTCGCTTCATTTTTAATTCTTTTGTACTCATACATTTGCATGTTTTTATAGCTGAAGGACATTTGCATTCCCTTCTCTCTGAGCTCCTGGCTCATTCATCTGTGCATTTTTCTAACAGGTATAACGGTGATTGGAAATAACTTGTATATTTAACACAGCTCCTTAAACTTCCAAGTTTGTTATTTCCAAAGGGTTTTTAGGGATGGAAACATTCACTATGGCTAATCTGTTTGACCAGTTTTGCTTTTTAAAATATTTTTTAAAAAAAAAAACAAACCTGGAAGGAAATGCACAAAAGTATTCACGGGTAATGAAGTTATAGGCACCTTTCAGTTTCTTCTTCAGTTAATGGTTTTCATGGTTTTCAGAACCCTGACGAAGCATGTTTACCCACAGGATCACGGAGAACAGGAGAAGCATGGGATTGGAGCTGTGGTTGACCTTTGCACTTGCACGGTCCTCCTCTGTCTGCAAGCGATGGGTCAGGGGCCTGCCCACTAGTTAGAACAAAGGGAGCTCCGCAGTCAGGGTTTGAGGTTGTGGGAGACTGATTGATGTGCTCCCTGAGGACTTTGTTCTTGTGGGAAACCTTAGTTATGTGCATGATTTGCTATAATTTAGCATTCACAAATAAAACAGACTGTTTCAAGAGTAACCCAAGCTCCTTCGAGCTTCTAGCTCTTCTATGCAAGTCCACCGTGCCTCAGTCCTCTCCTCAGGTTTCCCCAGGTGTTTCTGGCCATTTGTTTGGCTAATGACTTCCTAATTAACCATTCCATTTGTCTAAAAATTGGCCTTGCCCTACAGAACGAAGACCTTTCTCTCCTATCATTTTCAGAGTCTCCACAGATTATCAAGCAAGGCTGTGGCCACAACAGACTTGACTGGAACTTGAGGCTCACACGAGACTGTGGAGTGTCGAGAATAAGCCAGCAAGTGGGTATCAACACATAGCATCACAACCCTGGCTCCTGCCTGGCCACAGAGACCAGAGCTGCTAATCCCATTGTTATCTCACAGAGATTTTTTTCTGGTATCCTCAATCCTGCCTGAACCATTGTTAACACAACAGACTATGCATCTCTTTCCAAGGAAGTTCATTCTTCATCTACAGAAAGTTTAGCCCTGCACTGTCAAAACTACTTCTCCGTGCCCCAGGAAACAGGGGAAAGTGTTTTGGTTTTTTTTTGTTTTTGTTTTTGTTTTACTACAGAAGAAAATGTCTTCTAAGAATATTGCAATCACCTCCTTAAGGCAAAGAGGAGAAACAGCAGATAGTCCCTGAGACAGTGTGAGGGCTACCTGCTGCCTTGTCAGGTGCTCTCCCCTTCAGATCTGTGGGGAAGCTGCCCTCCCACAATACTTAGAACTGAAATATTCCAACCACAGCTATGGATGCACAGATCCCAGGATTCCACAGTCTGGGAGACAGAACTTTAAGCATCACACTGTCTTAAGACGATGCAATTCTTAATCGATGGTTTTGCTTTTAGATTAGATATTTCTGTTGGCTGGATTTTGAGCTCTGGCTTGTGATAGTGTATACGATGTTGGCTGGATTTTGAGCTCTGGCTTGTGATAGTGTATATGATCCTCAGTTGTGATTGATATTTTTGTTAGTGTCTTGGTATAGCGACTGGAGATGTGAGTCTTATGAGGAGATGGATGCATGTGTGATGGACCCCTCTCATCTGTCAATACAAAATACTCCACAGCTTCTGTTCCCCAAATAGTGTATGAGTAAGAAGGCTAGACGTACAGGGAATCTTCCATAAAGTTCAATGAGCTTGAGAATCAATAGACTCCCATCAGGAAAGCCTGCCAAGAGTGTGCTCTGAATTATAAATCCCATGAGGTCAGAGATTCTGGAAGGGTCTAAAGAATTCATTTACCAGACGCCTCTGGACAGTGAGTGAAAGCAAAAGCCATAGGGCTTCTGATGGCAGCCATGCCACAGATGCTTCATGACGGTGGGCAATGCAGGAAGGGACTGAGCCAGCACCCACAGCTGCACAGCCAGCAAAGTTTGCCTGTCCTGTCCTTTGAGAGGCAACCCAAGTGATAGGAAATTGTGATCACGTAGAACTGGGGGAGAAAGAGATTTTGTGTAGGTACAACCTGATATTTTCTGATAGATGTCTACAGCGAATATCAATCCCAGTCTTTACATAAAATGCATGTTAGTATTTGTATGTGAGCATTTGTCTCTCCACATGTGTATTTAGAAATACCTGCTAAATACACATCCCTCTATTCTGATATTTGCCTTTTCCAGGCAGAGTTCTCTTCCTATCACAGCCCCTTAGACATCTCCTTTTCTACTCTTTATATTTTTATAAGCAGAGCAGATAAAACTCAAGCCAGACCCATACACATGTAGGGTATGTACACACACACACACACACACACACACACACACACACACACACACCATGTGATTTGAAGTAAATGAAAAACAAAATCTTTTACAAAGACCCCCCCCCCAAAAAAAAAGACCCACTGTAAGATGGGAGGTGCAATGTAGACAAAAAAAGGGAACACAAATACCTCAAAGAACTGAGAATGGGACACAGGAAGCCTTGTGAACATGGAGCGGCCCACTAGGGTCAGCTCCTTTGAAGAGTCCTTGGCATGACCGTTGACCTCTAGTGTTCTGCGGAGAACAAGCCAACAACACTGTTGGGATGGCTATGGCATGGACAGTCCTGAGTGACAAGGACATGGGTGTCCAGAAGTGCCCTGCCATAGGCTGGAACATCTCAACAGCGGTCTACAGAGAAAACCCACAGCTAGGCTGTATTATTTTCTATCAGCCCAAATCTAGTGTCCTTGAGAAATGTTTATTTTGCTGACATGACCTTGGCTTTCTTTGAATTTGATGCGCTATCTATGTTTCCTATAAGTATGATTATTATTGCTTCTATTTGTGATAAGAACAAAACACAAAATGGCTTCTGCTTCCAACACCATGAGATAAATGTTATTATCCTCACTTTACAGCCAAAGATCACCCAGGAAGAACGAAGTACCAGGCCCTGTGTGACCCACCCTCCTCTCATGGATTCAAGCCAAGTCACACAAAGTGCCATGCTGAGCTCCCGGCCAGGACAAGGCTGTGGCTTTGGCTCTTCCTGACTCTGGGATGACAGAAGACGCTGTTGTGTTTCAGATTTCCTGCTACTTTCAAAGTAAGGAACCTTTGCATTTTACCATTTCAAACATGCCAAAGAGAAAGAGGATGGTCTTTATAAAGAGCTCAAAGAAATATACAGTTGCATGAATCTCCAAGCTTAAGAAAAATGGACACTTCCCAGAAACACACTTGCCCCTAAAGACAAAGGTCAACACACAGCCAGAGTGCTCCTGGTAGATTTTTGAAATGACAGTGTGGCTACAAGCAGTCACAAGTGCCAACAGCTCTGGCCCAGACTTCTTTGGTGGCTGGAGGGCAGCATGTGTCCCACAGACACATTCAGTCGACCTCATTATCCGAGGTTTCCACATTTTTATTTTCTTACTTGTTGGCATTTGTTTGCAGCCCTAGAGTCCATTCTCATGACACGTATGTAATCATTTACGGGCATGTGTGGAACACTAGAAAAGGTGTCACCCATGTATTTACATTTCCAAGCCAGTGGAACCAGGGAATGCCCTGCCTCCTGGCTTTCACTCTCGCCTTACAAACCAGTGCCCTTTTCCTGTTACATCTTTGTGCCTTTTGTTGGCAATTACACTGTTTAAAATGGGCCCCAAGCATAACACCGAAGGACTGTCTAATGTTTAGGGAACAAGATGCTCCTGATAGAGAAAATATGTCAGTGTGCCTCATTCACTTTCTGTTGAAAGTCAACAATGTATATTAAATAATATTTTTTTTTTCAAAAAGATACTTCATGTTTATTTGATTAGCAGAAAATGTGCTGTGAGAGGAGGCACATGGGAACTGACCTCTTGTCTCCCCTGGAAACCAGGGTTTGCTACTAACTGACTTGGTGAATTACTGATCCAGTAAAGTGGAGACTATACAACATATCTATCATGAGAACGAAGAACCTATTATATGTTTACATGTATAGTACGTTTGTGCTTGCATGTGACTGTCTTATCCTAATTCACTGAAGTCTTGAAAAAGTAAATCTATATAATTTATTAATAATCCTTGGAGAAAACCATTACCCATTGATAAAGTTTATTTATCTTAATTAGGGATGAAAGGTCTTGGGGTTGGCTTTGTGTTTAACTAGCTATCCTTACTAATTTCAATGTACCAACATGAGAATATACTTGACTACTGTCTAGGAGCGTGGGATGCTGGCTATAACAGTTTGCAAATGTTACTGCAAAACATTTACTTGATATCTTAACAAATTCCAAGCAACATTTTCATTCCAGACATCTGTCCAAGAGTTGGTTATCTAGTTAATACATGGACATTTGAACATAATATTTCTTTCATATCTCTTTGGACCATGTATCTTTAAACAACTTCGCAATGCCCTTAAATGCCAACTCCCACTGAGTCAGACCCTCCACAGACAAACACCACCTATCTGGCGGCCCAGCCTAAGCACTCCAGGTCCAGTTCTCCCCTGCTCCCATGTGAGGGTGGAACAGGCTCCTGTCAGTTTCCTTATCTGACTGTAGCAACAGTCTGCCAGGAGCTTCCCAGCATCTTCAGTTTGCATTGTCTGTCTGGAGGCAAGGTCTCAGTTTACCTGAAATCAGGGAGAGAGACTGACTAAGAATAGACTTGAAAACAAGAGAGAGAGACAGGGCAGGTTGTTGGTTCAGTTGGTAAAGTATTTTCTGTACAAGCTTGAAGACCTGAGTTTCTATCCTGAGCACCCATGTAAGTAAGAGCCAGGGATGAAGGCAGGTGCCCATAGTAGCAGGCTGGCAAGAAGGATCTCTAGGGACTGTCTGTCTAACTAGTCTGGCCAATTTGAGTTCAGTGAGAAATGCTGACATATAATAAAAGGTAGAGGATAATTGAGGAATATATTCTGTGTTGACCTCTGGCCTCCACACACATACAGGAGCACTCACACGCATATGTGCGCACACGCAATGAGACACCCATAACTTAAAAGAAGGGATTTAAATTGAACTAAAAGGAGAGATTTGTCATTACTTGTTTAGTCCACTTCACAGTTAAACTCTCCTGTAAGAAGAGGCGTGTGGGCCGAAGAGCCCTAGACAGGGGCATGGTGTTATTCTAATGGATAACTAATGAGCTCTCTCCAATATGCAGATGCCTGGAGTGGACCTGAGTATTCTCATCTGTGAGGGTTGAAGATAAACAGATTTTTCTTTGATGTCCTACTTAGATGTGTAACATGGGCTCATCTTGAGTTTTTCCAAATTATCTTGATGCTGGAAAGACTTCTCGTGTGTCTTAAAGCCCTCAAGAGAACACTTATTTCACACCAGTCATAAGTACTTCACACCAGACCCACAAAAGTCCTGTTTCGTCCCAAGTATTAGAAGATAGATTGCTTCTTTTTTCATGTAGTCTTCAGAAGTTAAAGGTCTTGACAACTGGCTAATCTACCCATTCAAGAAATATTATGGGACCTTTCTACATTGTAGCTACACAGTATCTGAATCATGGTCTCTGTCCTTTACTCAAGCCAAGGTCTGTGGGTGCCCTGGGTTTGCTACCAGTCTGTTACTTAAAGTAGGTTAACAACTCAGTATCCTGTCAAATTATTTTCTTTGGAAATATGCTCCTAGTCTGAGAAAATGAGTCAGCACCAGAAAAATGTTTTCCCACATAACCAAAAGGAAAGAATTAATTTATGTTTTACTGACAACATAAGGAATTGTGTGTGGTGACTTGAGTTGATTGGTGTCATATTTTTAATTTATTCTAGAATTGGTTTTGGAGGCCAGAATAACTGCCTCTGAGTAGCTACTGCAAACCGCTGTATAAGCCGCTTTTCAGTTGCTGTGATAAAACAGCATTTACCTGAAAGGGTGTATTTGTGCTCACGGTTCCAGAGAGGGAGTTCATTGTGTGGGGGAGGCTAGACAGCAAGCAGCTGAAGCAGGGAGCTGAGAGATCACACATTCAACTGTAAACACAAGAGAGAGAGCTGGGATGGGGTGATGTGAAGAGCTCTCAAAGCCTGCTCCCCAGAGATGCACTTCCTCCAGCAAGGCTACCCCCAGCAGCACCACCCACTGGGGAGCCAGTGTGGAGACAGCTGAGCTAATGGGAGACATTTCTCATGCAAATCACCACGCCCATCATCCCCACAGGTCCATCCTGGAGGCTAGGGTCTAGTTTAATTTTTTTTTCCATAATCAGTTGCCAAATGAAGGCAGAAAGGATTTGTTAAATGTTTCACCATAAGCCTACAAAGATTATTTTTCTGAGTGCCTAGCCTCTTGTTTTTGTAATTTATAATAATTTCTACAATACTTATTGTGAGATTTGCATCTCCAGTGGGAGGAGAGGAATATCCTGAATGTATAGTTTTCTACATATGTTCCATATACTTCCTGTGGGGGTTAGGTTGATGACTCGGTGGGTTAAACATGTGGGCAAACTGGAGGACCTGAGTTCAAATCCCCAGAACACATGCAGAAGACAATTGTGACAGAGTTCTCCCATTGTTCCTCTGTCAAGATGGGAGATGGAGACAGGGCAGTCCCAGCAACCCACAGTCCAGCTAGCCTGGCATACAAAGCAAACAGTGAAAGAGAGGCCCTGACTCCAAAGGTGAGGATAGATGCATCATCTCTCTCTCTTTCTCTTTCTCTCTCTCTCTCTCTCTCTCTCTCTCTCACACACACACACACACACACACACACACACCATACATGCATACACAAAGGAAGGAAGGAAAGAAGGATTAAATTTCATACTATCTCATAGATGATTATTTTATTATCAGCTTATGTTACAGTGTCACTCTGTTTTTGTTTACTTATAAATTTACCTGCATTTGGGCTCCATTATCCTCATTTTGAAGTTTTCTTCTATATAGTCTAAGCACCTACAGACACTACATAAACATTTTGAGTGAACCTTTTTTTAATCTAAACAATTTTTGGCAACCCGAAATTAATCACTGCCCCTATCACTTATTTTATGCCTGTCTTTTCTTAACTCATTGCCTATTAAAATGAGACAGTTCTGTAAATATAAATATAAGTAAGCAGTGTTTCCTTGGGTACTTATGACTTTACAGCAGACATGTATTAATCATGTAGAACATGAGTATGGAAGAACAGATCTTGTGCCCATAGCTGAGGACCTATGACTAATGTCACCGAGTCAAGGCAATGAAAAAGACGGCCTCACTTTTCAACAATTTACGCTTTTCTTCTGAAATAGATGAGTTTTCCATGGAAAATAACTTTTTTAAAAAAAAATTTCACTTTCTTTTTTTTCCACCCCCTCATCCCACCTCTCACTCCCTCCAGCCTCCCCCCCCCAACCAATCCATTCCCCCATCCCCTCCTCCAAAAGGTTAAGTAAGGCCTCCCATGGGGAGTCAGCAAAGCCTGGTACATTCAGTTGAGGCAGGCCCAAGCCTCTCCCCCTGCATGGGGAAATGGAAATAACATTTTTGACAACTTCTACTGATCACATTTACTTTTGTTTATTGAGAATAAGAAATAATGGATTCATTGTGAATCCAAAATCATCGCTCTTTAGATTTACCTAAATGAGAAAACCAAGTGTTTCTTTAAAGTTTGGATTCTCATAAAAGGAATTTGTTTTAAGTATATTTCTCAATTATTCTAAAGAACAATAAGATTTTGCTAAACAATTTAGCTATTTTTCCCCCTGCTTTGGAAATCTAAGATTGTAAATTGAGTCACTTAGCATAACTGTATTATCTTAAGTTCGATCAGAATTAACTTGCTATCTAGAACCCAATAGAAGAGAAAGCCATTCTTGAGGAGACCTTTGCCACTTAACATTATGTTCAGAGTAATACAGAGAATTAGGAAAGATAAACATCTCTTTTACAAGCTCTGTATCAACCAAGGCGGCATCTGTCCTTGTGACCACTAAGGTGTGGTTGAATGGTTCACTCTCACACAGAGCAATATTTGATCTTTGCTATATTGAGTCAACAGGGTACAAGAATCTCTTCTAGGATTTTATTTCATTTCTTTTCAACATTATCAGATAATGTGGGGGCAGAAAACATCAGTAGGCAGTCCATATATACCATAATCGTGGATGACAAGTACTGTGCATTTTTGTGTATTATCTGTTATTTTGATTTATGCGTGTTTAGAAATAACAAACATTGATGAAAAAATTAGGAGGAGTATAAATGGTAAAAATTAGGAAGAGTATAAATGATAAAAATTAGGAAGAGTATATATGATAAAATTACAATTTACCGCTCTCATCTTGGCATCATTCTTAACCTGACATCACTGTGGACCATGTGCTTGTTCTGTGATCATATGAAGAAGATGGCATCTTGGCCTGTTAGTCAGATGTTGGTGAGCGTGACAGAGGGATCAGTGGTCTCCCAAGTGGGAGGCCTGGATTCTTCAAAGTGGGAATTCAGGAGGAAGAGGAGGTTTGAGAGGTTCCAATCCAGTCATGTCACTAAATGTTTGACCCCTGGCAAATCATTAGTCTCTCTCATTTTGGGTCCAAGCTCTGAATCTTTCTATCTGAGCATATAACCTGAAGTAATAGCAGAGGGCAGGTAAGCAGAATAGGACTGTGGGTGCAGGGTGGGCAACACACACACACACACACACACACACACACACACACACAGAGAGAGAGAGAGAGAGAGAGAGAGAGAGAGAGAGAGAGAGAGAGAGAGAGAGAGAGAGAGAGAGAGAATATTCAAGCTGTTTGAAAAGGCCTCAGGGAAACATATTATTTTGTGTCTACTTAAGAATACATATCCAACCTGTATCAGTGTGTGTACACACACACAGTCTGGATGAAGTTGTGTTACTTGCGGGGCTAATGCTTCTCTACAAGAGCCATAGACTACGTAACAAACCACAGTGCCAGGCGTGGGACACCTCCCTTTGAGCCAGGGGAATTGGAGAGACTCCCAAAATAATTCAGGCTATTGTCCTCACCCTGGGATGTCTCTGACAACTCGAAGGTAAGACCCTATTACTGAAGACACCACACACTTTAGACATAAAGTTTGGAGGAATCAAGGGGCAGCTAATCTGGAAGCCTCCTCGCTGAGAACTAGCTTCCATATTACTGAGAGTGCTGTGCAAGCTGCCAAAGTGAAAAAAAAAAAAAACAACCCAATCAATAGTCCTACCCAGCTGTAAAGCTATGAATCACAACCATGATCAGCACAACAAGATAACCCCAAGGATGCAACAGCGACATGTGTATCTTGGGTGATAACCAATAGTATCTGATTGAATTTAAGGTCCAGTCAGTAGGGGGGAATCCATGCCTGGTATTGTAAACCTAGTGAATTACCCATGGCTGCTGACATCATGGACCTGAGAGGAGACCCTGCTGCTGCCGCTTTCCCGAAGCAGTATAATCTCGAACTGCATTCTAAGTACTGACTTTTCATACCCACAGAGGACTGTAGCTCTCACACCTAATCAAAGAGGCTTCTTTTGGAGCAAACAAAGGCTGATCAGAACACGGAGAACAACATAATTGTTCTGATATTGAGGTGGTCATCCCCAGTGGATATATCTACAACACAATCTCTGTATATAAGGCCTGGGAAATAGCCAGGAAGAGGGGGCCATAAAGATTCTAAGAACCACAGGACCAGGAAGTCTGCTGCAAGATGAATGTCTTTCAGATATGAAAGGGAAGCTGCACTCATGGGATCACAAAAATAAGATCGCCTAAGTAACACTGGCACCATGGCAACACTAGATGACATGTGAATGATGGACATCTCACAAGGCTCTACTCCTACGTGAAGAGCTGTAGGCAATGAATGGCTATTGAGAGAGGGAGACTCAGCCTTCTCCAGGGATGAGCCTGCTGATAGGTTATCCAATCTCAAGAGGTCAGGTCTAAACAAATACACATATAAGCAACCCTAAATTAACTTAGCAGGCTGTATTTACATATGCATACACTTGCACACACACACATAAAGCAATAATTTAAAAAGAAGAGGTCATGGCTGGGCTGTGGTGGCGCATGCCTTTAATCCCAGCACTTGGGAGGCAGAGGCAGGTGGATCTCTGTGAGTGCAAGGTTAGCCCGGACTACAGAGTGAGTGCCAGGAAAGGCACAAAGCTACACAGAGAAATTCTGTCTCAAAAAAAAAAAAAGGTCATGAATTTGAGGAAGGGTAAGGGGTACACAAGAGGAGTTGAGTGGGGAGATAGAGATGTGGAAATTATGTAAATATAGTATTCATAAAATTCTCAAAAAATGTAAAAGAAACTTCCATAAGTCAAGAAAAAAAAACCATCTTAAAAAATGGGCTAATCTTTAGTTGCCTCCCAAAGGATAAAGGTAAGTTCCCATGGATGAAGACACCACAGGCTTCAGAAATAGGACCCAGAGGATCCCAGTTGTATCTGACCTGAAAGGCTTGCTTCCCAAGGATTAGCTTTCATAGTATCAGAAGGTGTTATGCAAGCTTCCAAGGAAGGGAAGCAATGAATAGTCCTACACATAAGTGATGCCAATAAACCACACAATGACCAGCATGGCAAAACATACCTAAGGGTGCAGTAATGGTGCTCACATGTTGGTGGTAACCAACAGCTATCTAACTGGGCTTATGATCAACCGGAGGGAAATCATG